CCGCGAACTGGGCCGCCGGGGCGATGCCGGGGCGTTGGCGGCGCTGCTGGCGGTGCTCGGCACGGAGATCCCCGGCGTGGTCGTCAACGGGATCCTCTCGCCGCAGTGCCGCAGCAGCCGCAGCCACACGACCGCGGCTCGTAATTAATTCCTCGGTGGCCCGCGAGGTGGCAACCCTAGCGCGGTTCCGCGGCGTTGCGACAGCCCGGCCGCCGCCGGTTCAAACAGTCGGAAACCCTAGCGCGGCGGAGATGGATGCGGCCGTGTTGGCATACCCGCCCGACTGCCCCGACTGGCTCGTTGGCCGAGTCGCTACTGAATCCTTGCTAGGGTTGCCACTCGCAAAGGTCACCGCGGCAAACGAGCTGCGCGGTGCAGCAACCGCAGCAACACACGCCGGCTAAGGCACGCCGGGCCGGGGGCCTCGATGGCGTCCTCGATGGAGTCCTCGATGGAGTCCTCGATGGAGTCCTCGATGGTGGCGCCGAGCGGAAAATGAAAGCTTACCTCTTAGTCAGTCCACTTCGTCGATTATTCCGCGGGGCTCGTTTGGCGGCTCATTGCTTCCACGGCTTCCCGTGGCGTGGTCTTCCAGTGGAGATGGCCCGGTGAGGCTCACTGCTACGCTCGCTGCAGCGTGTTGCGTTACGGCCACGGAGGGCCACGCAACACCGCGGCGACGCGGCGCCGAGGCGACACAGTTCCGCATCCGATTAGCACCACACAGGTGACGCCGGTTTTTTGCATCGTGCCACCGAGGTGCCCCCAGCACCGCCGCGCCGCACGCAGTGAGGCAATGAGGTCATGCTTTCTTCGACGCGACCTCCTCCTCGCTGTGCCGGAGCAGCCAGAGAGCGGGGGTCTCTCTCTCTCTCGCACTCGTGGGGCGCCCCGTAAGCGTACGAGAGAGACAGAGACAGACCGACGGAGCCGGTCGGAGCCAGCCCGCCGAGCCGGGCACAGTGTGCCGGGCGGGGCCCTGACGGCACGACACCTTGTCTGCCACACCTGACGGCCCGACGGCCGCGCGACGTGACGTGTGTGACACACTGTGTGACGCAGTCGCATTCCGCGCGGCTCACCAGAGGCGCTCACTCAAAGGCGCGCGCCGTTTTGTTTCTGTCCGTTTTTGTTCTGTTTTCTGGTCATTCACGCCCAGTCGGTTTCCGCCAGACTCCGCCCCGCACTGCCGGCACACTGCCTGCACGCACGGCAGCAGCGCCGCCAGCGCCGCCCCGCGGCCGATTCCGGGAGTTCGTCGCTCTGTCTCTCTCGCACTCGCGGGGCGTGCCGTGCGGACCCGTAGGTGCGAGGCATCGGTGAGAAAGTGACGCCTTGTAATTAATACCTGCGGACGGACTGGGAGGCCGGGACTTGCAGGGGGCCGCCTTTATGTTCGCGGTCCACGCTCCTTTGGCGGACAAGCAGGAAGAAGAAATAACGTATCGTCAGTTTGAATCTGTTTGAATCGTATGACCGAGTCGGGACGGCCCGGCCCGCAGCTCGGCCCCGACGGCGTGCGAACAGGGCTGCCCCCACCGAAGGATCGTATCGTTCGTACCGTCGCTCTGTCTTTGTCGCACCCATGGGGCACACAGTCGGAGGTGCGAGAGAGACAGAGCCTTCGGAATCGGGCGGCTGCGAATAACAAATAAAACACACACGTCTCGAAGCGGGAACGCGAGAAGCGGGCTGGTACGGAAAACGCTGTCGCCCCCAAACCGAGGTGGGAAACGAACCAAACGAACGCACCGGGCCGGTCTTCTCCCGGTGACGCAACGGCCGCAGCAACGCGCAGCACCGCAAGGCACACAAACCCGCTGTATTTATTGACTTTCGGTGCAGCGCCTCGAATGGCAATGAGCCCGTGCAGAGCGACGCGAGCGACGCGAGCGCCCCGCGGCGGCCCGGCTACAAAGTAGCGCGCCAGAAACTGGGCCCATTCGACCGGCGTCGCCGCGCCGCCCGGGCCCATTCGAACGCCCTCGGCCGGGCGGGCCCTTTTGACGACACACCGCGCTACCGACCGACGCTACCGGTCCGGCTCGGCGTTTGGGTGCTTTTGGGGCGATTCCGGTAGACGAGTGTCGCTCCTTGGATTTCACGATCGAGTGTGACCGTAAACCATAGTCATTAGAGGGCCTGGCGTCGCGGTCCGCGGGTGGTCCACGCCGGCCTGTGACGCAAGTGCGTTTTAAAAGCCGCTGCAATTGTTTCGAAGGGACTCTCTCACTGCTATGCCGAATCGAATGCGTGGCGCGGCGCGGCCTGGCGCCTGCATCTCATAAGCTCGCATTGCTGCACCGGCCCGGTCGAGTCAGTCCCCGGCCGGGACAGGTCCGCTGGAATCGGAAATAAGGCGAGTTTGTCGTTGATAAGCGGTCCGGCAGGCCGCGCGGCGTTACAACACGGGCAGGCCGACTGCTCACCCAATTACTCATCAATAATGCGAAGTATGGAAAGAAAAAAAAAGAGAGGAAAGACACGCGAAGCAGATCGCAGGCCTGGAAAAGGTTTCCGGAAAATGAGGTTGAATGCTGATTGCGGCAGAGTGTGACAACAACCGGGCTGCTGACTGCATAGGCAGGGAGCGGAGGAAGAGAGTGGCATCACAACCGGGTTGGGAAAAGAAGATGGGTCGTGGGTCCCCAGTGGGTCCTCGCCGCGGTCTTGGTGGTCGTGGCGGTCCCCGCGGGACGCGTCGTCGTGTCGCTGCATTGCGAGATCGCGGCCCGTGACTCCCGAACGGCCGGGAAATCAGCTGGCCTTCCTTACACGGCAGTCAAGGCAGTCACAGTGCGCACGAGCCGTGAGGGTGCAACACGGCGGATGGAGAAAAAATGGGAAAGGGGGGGGGGATGTCTGAGACGTCGCAGCTGCTTGCAGAGGGAGAGTCCCTGGAGCCGAGGGGCTGAGCCGAGCATGCCGGGCCAGCTGGGCGCAAGGTGTTCACCGCTTGGCTCGTGCCCGCCGCCCCGCCCCGCCCCGCCCAGGTTGGATCTACCGGTCGGGGCCCCAGCGCGGCCCGTGCCTGCATGCAGGCGCGCATCTGCCGCCACACAATACGAGGCGGCCGACTACGAGCAGGCCCCGGCCCTGGAGTGTCGTCACAGTCGGAAACGATGGACGGACGAACGGACGAACCGAGGGGCAGTGGAACACGACGCCTCGGGCGGGCGGCCGTTGGCTGCCGGGCACCCTCTCCTCCTCCTCGGCCTTTCCCCTGTTACCACGTCCCCGCGTCCCCGCCGGCAGCCGAGAGGAAGGCGAAGCAGGCGAAGCAGTCCGCGATCCTCCATCCTCCTACGCGATGCGCGGCGGACGCGCCGACGCAGGGGACGCACAGATGGTGAACGCGAGGGCACGCGCCAAAGTGTAACGGCCGCCGCGGTGGAGGGGGGAGGCGGAGTGCTCTCCACCCCGAGGCCCGGCGCAGCCCGCGGGGAGCGGAGGGCAGGGAAGGGGGTGTGGAGGTATGGCGGCGCGACGCGGCGGCGGTGCGGACTGTGTGGACGACCCGGCAACACAGACACACAGACATACCCACATACGTACACACACACACACGCGCGCGCGCTCACACACACACACACCAATGCAGGCACAAGCCTGCAAAATACAGGCAGCTGCTTTGGCCAAAGGACGGAGAGAGCAACGTTGCGAAATTGGCCACAAAAAGAATGCGTCAGTTTCAGTTTTGGAGCAGGTTGTCGTGTGCGTTGGACTGACTCTACGTTCAGTTGTTTGAATTTCACTTTCGACTTAACTTTCAGCCTTACAGCTGCCTCTTTCGAATGTCTTACTGAAAGTCCTAATTTCAAGTAAACTTTGTTTGTACGCAGGCGAGTCTATACGCGTGGCAAAGAGCAATCTGCGATGAAGGGTTTTTAAATTTCGCCAAATAGTCCCTCACCCCTTGCCACCTTCGGCAGGCACAGAGTGCATGCGGGTTCGTTGGCAACCTCCTTCGAGGGGGACATGAAGGGGAGGGGGAGGGGTGTCGGACGGACGGGCGCGCGTCCGTTGAAATAGCAGCAGCTGCTGGTAGCGCGGCGGCGGTCGGTGTTGTAGTAGCAGGAACCAGCCAACCAAGCAAGCAAGCGAAGCAAGCGAAGCAAGCCACCCCCTGCGCGGGGAGCGGCGGGGAGGGGCGGGGCGGCAGGGGAGCGGGTGAGGAGCGACCCGGCCTCGGCCTCGGCTCGGCCACGGCCACGGCCCGGCAGTTCGGTGCAGAGGGATCCCGCGAGCACGTCGCCGTGCAACCCCCGATACAGTGAGTGCGTGAAAGTGAACAGTGCCTCCAGTGATGTGACATGGCGGCCTCCCTGGGCCGCTCGTACGAGTGGGATGCGTACGAGGACGTGGATAAGCCTGCCCGCCGCGGCGTCATCGGCGGCAGCATGCGAGCGCCGCGAAGCAGGTCGTCGGCGCGGTCGAGCAGCGCGCGGCGCAGCGGGGCGAGCAGCCCGGCGCGCAGCCCGGCCCCGCACCGCAGCCCCAAGTGCTACTCCAACGAGGCCCTGGTGGACGGCGACGAGTACTTCTCCGACCAGACGGACTTCGAGGAGCACTACCTGGCCAAGCGGCAGCGCCAGGACAGCGGCACGTCGCTGACGTCACGCGACGCCCGCGAGCCGCCCGTCGGCGCGTCCCCCGTGCACGCGGCGCCGGCCGGCTTCGGACCCGCCGGCTTCGAGGGCATCGCGACGTACGAGCAGCGCCGCTTGCTGGCCGGCAAGTCCATGCCGCAGCTCAGCGAGCGGCCGCAGCCGCAGCCCCGCCACCGCTACGAGTGCATCCCCAGCCGGCCGCCCCCGCAGCAGCCGCCCCCGCAGCCGCCCCCCGCCCACCGGCCCGGCAAGGCGACGCCCACGCGGCGCAGCAACAGCAGCGCGAGCAACGTCGGGGTGTCGCCGCGCCGCGGCCCCGTGCGGTCGCCGTCCACCGTGAGCCTGCTGCGCCGCGGCGGCGGCACCGGCGTGTCCACCCCCGCCAGCCGCATGGCCAACATCCCCACGGTGGTGCTCAGCTCGCCGGCCACGTCGCCGCTGCGCCAGCAGCAGCAGCAGCCGCAGAAGGCCGTGCCCTTCGTGTCGCCCAGCACGTCGCGCCGCAACCTGACGCCCCTCATGAACTCCATGTCGCCGCAGCCGCTGCCCCGGACGCCCCGCCAGCAGCAGCCGCAGAGCCAGCAGTACAACCACCGGCGGACGCTGTCCATGTCGTCCGGCCACCAGAAGACGGCCGTCATCGCCCCCAACACGTACACGGGCTTCGACCTGTCGGGCCGCGCCTACGGCGACGGGTGAGTTCAGTAGCGCCCTGCCCCGCGACCGCCGCGACGCCCCCATTTCTAGCACCTGGCCGTCAATGGGCTGGGCGACGCACTCAATGGCCCGGCGCACAATCGCGCACGTGGCTGCAGCACGTGCGTGTGGGGGTGTCGGGGTGGGTTTGTGTGTGTATGTGTGGGTGCGAAGGGGGAGGGGAGGCAATAATGGCAGCTGTTGGCAAGGCAGTAGCAGCCCCCCGCCCCCTCCAAGGCCCAGGCACAGAGGATCAGAGCCGGCGACCAAACTGAGCGACTTCCGTTGCAGGTACCGTCCGCGCTGCGAGCTGGAGGACGACATGGCCGAGATGCAGGCCTCGTTCCTGTCCCAGCAGCACGAGCCGCTGATGCGGCGGTCGCCGCGGCGTAAGTCGCTGTCGCCGTCGTCGCACGTGCCCGGCCCCAGCACGCCGCTGTCGCCGCCCGCCATGGACATGCAGCAGCTGACGTGCTCCCGCGGCGTGGTGGGGCCCGCCGTGCGCGCGCAGGCCTCGCCCGCCTGCTCGCCCGCCTCCTACAAGTCCAACAAGTCGTCCTGGCTGTCGCTGCCCGGCGTCCAGGGCAGCGGGCTGGGCCACCGCGCCCCCAAGGGCGTGCTGTTCGGCACCGGCATCGTGCTCGTCCTCAGCGGCGTCGTCGCCAACGTGCTGGCCTTCTACATGCTCAGCTTGGTAAGCCAGGCGAAGCCAGGAAGCGCGCTCTCGCCGCACCGCGCGTGCAGGTCTCCAGCCTCATTCACGCCGTGCCTCTTGTTGCAGAAAGGGCGCCAGTACTACCTCGACTTCGGCGTGCTCTCGGCCTTCGCCTCCCTCATGCTGGGCATCGTGGGCCTCCGGTCGCGCGTCGGCCACTTGCTCCCCAACCGGAACTACGTCACGGGTGAGTGAGTGGCGCTTCCGGACCGCCACGGCAGCGGTTGTGCGCCCGAGTCTACACCCGTCTCCACCGTGACTCCTCGCCGAGCCCCTGGACGCCCTGAACGTCCTCATCCTGGCCCACGCCGGCCTTGCGACCGACTCATCAGACTGCCGGGGCCATCCCTCCGCGTCCGGCGAGCCCCACTCCTTCCTGACCGCGCATGTCTGCCGCGACCTCCTTGCGTCACCAATTTGGGGGACCCCCTCCCCGTGCTTCCCCGTGCTTCCCATGCCGCACTCCGAGGTGCATCCCGTCCTACACCTGCATCCGGGCCCGAAGTGGGGCAGGCCTCGGCAGGACGGGGCCGGCCGTGGCGTCGCGTAGTAGGATTCTTTCATTCATGCATTCATTCGTTCATTTGGGAACGCAGAACGGGTGAGATGGCCGATATGGCCGGCAGGCCAGGCGGGCGGCGTGGCAAGGGTGAACCGCTACGCAGTGTAGTGTGCTGTGTTGTCGCCGGAAACGGATCAACAAGTACGTCGTACCGGAGGGCCGGGAGGGTCAGGCTGGCCCTGCCGTTAGGGCCGTAGGGCACCCAGGGCACCCAGGGCAGTCAGGAAACAGGGAAGGACTACCCATTAATTTGGGTGCGCTCCGAAGGGCCGTCAACACCACCGCCAAGGACTGTGCGACGCCCCTTCCTGCTCTGCAGTGCACCTACAGTGCGCCGCGTACTGCACCGCGGACGGGAGAAAGCCGCGACGCGTCGGCCTGCCTGCCGCACTCGGCCGGACTGTCCTTCTCCTTGTGCGGAAGGCGCGGCCGCGGCGCCGCGGCGGAGAGGAGAGCAAGGAGAGCACCTCGCCGACGCCCTGCCCTTCCGCAGCGGCGCTCCGCCAAATATGGGCTAATTATTTGAATCGAGTAAGAAAGCGCGCGCGAATTGCGGCACGGCGGCGGCCTCTCTCACCGCCCGCCGTAAACACACGCGGCCGACTCCGTCGCACCCCTACGGCACGCCCCGTGAGTGCGAGGGAGACAGCGCGACGAATAAGCACGAAGCAGCTTGCTGGAGCGTTGCCATCCAGCGGCCCCACGACTAGACGCGGCGCCTGGACAAGCAGGGTGGCGGGATGACGATCAGAGATTTGTCACCGCCACTCCCGATCGCCGCCACTCCGACACGCACGTCGCGCAAGGACGGCCGCCGCCATAACTAATATCGTATAAAGTCGAATCCGACCGCATTAGGCCGAGCCCCGCAGCCCCGCGCGCCCCACGAGTGCAAGTGAGAGAGACTTGAGCTGCTGCTGCCAACGGCTGCCAATCCCCCCGCCCCCCGCAGCAAACCGCACTGCCCCGTTCAGTGTGACTCACGCCCCGCGTTCCCACCACCTTGGGGACTCACTCCATCACCTCGCCGGCAGCCGGCAGCGCCGCCAGCGCCGCGCGGGGCAAGGTCTCTGTCAACTAGACCGTCCCCTGCGAGCCCCGCCCGGCCCCGCCCTGCGAGTATGGACTCGCACTCGGCCGCCGCGCGCGATATCAAAAAATAGCAATGAAATATAAGCAGCGCGTAAAAGTAAAACGAGTGTAAAACGGAGCTCGGCGCGATTTCTCGATCCAGGCGGCCGGGCAATTCGGCTCCATGCAAAGCGCCGGGCCATTCCGATTGGCCGCTGCAGCGGGCCGGGGGGCCGGGGGACTCCACAAGCCGCTCTTGTTTCTGGCAAGAATGCAGCCATGCGGCCGCGCAATGAGTTTCGCAATCGCAGCGCCGCCAAGCCGCCAACAAGACCAATAGTTTTTGCCCGTTTTGCTCGTCTACGTGCTCGGCGCGGCACGCCACTGTAGGGCTCTAGGCACGGCATGGCACGGCGCCGCGGCACTGCCTCGGCCGGCCTGACAAATCGAGATGGCGCCACCGATCGCCTCCTGCCTTTTCCTCAGTACGCAGTGTAGGGGCCCGGCGGCCCGGCCCGCGGTTTATTGGTGCGCTCGCATTAGCTGCCGCCCCAAGGTGCCCCAAGGTTCGCCGCGAAATAATGAGCGTGAATACACACTGCCGCGGTGAAAGTGCCGAAGTTACGACTCGCCGACTGTATAGCTGCGGCTAGCCGCGACGGCCGGCCGGCCGGGGGGGCTTCGGTCTTCGGGGCTGCGCCGAGCTTCGCGGCCTGAGCCATGAATGATCTTCTAACGCGTATACGGCAGTGCGGCTGCCATTGGAAATATGGGCTTCCACGCCGTGCATCATGCCCCGTTGCGTCACCTCCAGCATGCCTCCAAGAGGCCCTACCGCCCTAGGCCGCCCTGGGCCCGCCGGCCGGTCTATTTGTATGCGCGCGGCCTTCCAGCGGCTCAACTCTATTCGGATTAATTTCATTACAGCCCCCCCCCCTCCCGAAAGCCAGGGCGCGGCCGCCGTCATGACCCGCGAGTGCTAGGCGCGCATTGCACACGCTAAATGCCAACCGATAATTGATTCAATCCCAGAGCAGTGCAATTGTCATTGCCGACGCAATCTAAAGGCAGTCGTTGTTGTTGTTGCAGGGTACATCTTGGTGGCGGCCTTCTCCGTGCTGACGGCGGCCGGGCTGCTGACGCTGCTGCTGCTGCCGCAGCCGCCGCACCTGCCGCGGTCGGCGCGCCTCCACGGCGTCGGCCTCGGCGGCGCCGCGGCCACCATCGACATCACGGCGGGGGCGGTGTGCGGCACGGCGGCGCTCACGCTGCTGCTGGCCGCCACCGGCACCCTCACGTCGTACTGCTGCCGGTACCCGCCGCCGGACAACCGCGTCGCCCACGCCGCGCCGACGTTCTCCGTGTGAGCACGGCGTCGACGACATGGACGTTACAACACGGCGGCGGCGGCGGACTGCTGCTGCATCGGCCTGCCGCGCCTATCGATGAAATGGAAGGTCTCCTTTCCTGTTACGACCCCCCGAGTGCGTGCGAGAGAGACAGACAGACAGAGAGGATGATTGTAAGTGCGAGTGAGTGAGCGTGAGAGGTGTCGTAAGCCGCCGGGATGGTTTTTAAAGCCCCGGAGGAAGACCAAGTGAAGGATGCAGTGTCAATATATTTGTCGTTACGACTGCACTGTAAGGCGAGCCTTGCTGCAACTATAACTGCTGCTCCCAGCTCGCAGTGCTGTGTACTCTGCCGGGGAAAGGCATCGGCGGATCGCTCAATTCTTTTCCTCGTCAAATTTATTCCATGGCATACGTTTTTGAAGCAGCGCTTTGGCAGCGCGCGGTTGGCTGGCCTGGCCGGATTGATTTCGCTCGGCGAGTGCTTTGCCCGCTTTGCCAGCAGCAGGCTGATTCCGAACAGTGCCCTCGTCGCTCTGTCTCTCTCGCACCGCCACGGGGCGCCTCGTGAGTGCGAGGAAGACAGGACGATGCGACGCCGCTTGGAATCAGACTCTACACCCCCGTTTTATTGCCCTGGACACGCGGTCCGATTTCTCGCCTCGTTTTGGCGGCAGTCCCTACACCAGCTACTTCTCTGCAATAATCGCGCCGTGAGATCCCAATCGGGCGTTGCGTTGGCACGCGGCCCGACGACCCCGCGACCCGAATTACCCCGCCACTGTAACAAGCAGAGTATGTTCGGGGCGGCAGCTATCCACCTCTACATCTGTAGCACATCGTGTGTCTGGCTGTGTTTGAGTGTGAGTGCGCGTTCGTGCATGCGTTAGTCTGTTGTGCGTGAGTGTGAGTGTAAGTCGTTGTGAGTGAGGCGTGTGTGTGTGTGTGTGTGTGGTAGTGTGAGTGTATGGACGTGTGCGAGTGCGCCCTGTTGCGTGGAATGTAACACCTTTAGTCTAGCAATCACATATCAGACCCCAGTGGTCTAGCCCTCGCGGCGTGGGTCGATTTTAATTTTAAGGCCTTCCCCCTGGTTACCATGGTTACCATGGCGTGATCTTGACACTACTGTTGTGTCTTTGAATTATGTATACTAAGATAGTTTTAAGCTGTGTACATATCGTGGCCAATTCCGTCAGTACTTGGAGGCAAACAAAAGTTGTATATATGTTTTATAAGATAGAATATCAGAAATGTATTATATATTGTTGATTGTTTATATATCTTAGAACTTTATGAAAAGTGTTCATTGTGTCTTTATTTATTCTAGTTGTAGATAAACCGTAGGTCATAAAATGTACAGCCTGTAGTAAGTACGTACATAAATTACGGAAAAAGTCCGTAATGGATTAACAGCTAATATGCCAAAAACATTTTGAATATTTACTGTTGATATAATTATAAAGGTCAAGTTTAGATACGTACGTCAATTTTAGGCGTTTGATCCGAGTACTGGCGGGATTGGGAGACCTCATTCGAGTCTCTCGAATGAAAGGGAACGACCTCGCAGCGGTTTCCTTGCAAAAGAGATGGCGCACGTTATAAACAAAAGCCTGCGACCAGAATCAAACCAAAATTATTTATGTCATTTTAATTGATTGAATAAAAGTCTACCAAGAACCATACAAGCTGCTGTTAGTTGTCCGTCATTATTGAACCCATTCCTCCCGACGCCTATCTCAGCCAAGGAGAATCGATCATGCTGTCATAAAAGCAAGTACACTTTTAGAGCCGCACTGTGCGGCGCTCTGATGGCCGATAACGGCCAACACGACGGCGCCGCAAAATTTGAAACGGCCGGGTGGCGATTACACGTACACATTTACACACACACACACACGCGACGTGTCTTTCGCGAATCAGTCTACGGCGCCAACACCGCTATCGGTGCACGTACAGCCCGGGGGAGGCACTGCATTAGCCTGGTGGTGATAGTGAGCGCTGGCGCGCTGGCGTCGCTCTGTCCCTCTCGCCCTCGCTGGGCTGGCCTAGGCTGGCCGGGCGGCGCACAGGAGTGCGAGCGAGACAGAGCGACGGCTGCAGGCTGCGCCAGGCTGCGCCATGGAGGGCCGCGCCGAACTGCACGCCTTTCACCGCCCTGTCGTGGTGTCGCGGTGTCACGGCCTGTTGCAGAACAGCCGATGGAAAAGGCCAGCCCCCGTGCGCGGGCTACTACTGCTGTGCTGTTGCTCTACAGCATAGGAGTGGCAAGACAGATCTCCAGGAAAAGCCGAAGGCGGCAAGTCGTCTTCTTTTGCATGCATTTAAACTTTTGGCGCTGCGGCGACCCCTGCCGCGCTAAGGTGGTATACCACCTTATGCCGCGCCGCCTAGAGTAACCCTTTCGCCGCCGTTGCACAAGAAAATGTCATGCGCGGCCGTCGTGCCGCCGCCATTGCCGTTCGATACATCGACGGCAAGGACGGAGGACGCCCCGCCGCACCCCACCACGCCCCGCCACGCCCCGCCCCACACGTCGTGCCCACGTAGGGGAGACATTTTGGCCAGCGGTCAAAGCCAAAATCGTTGTGGTCAAAGTCTTCCCGATACAGGGCATGAAAGAGTAGGGTCTTAAGAATACTAGGACGTCGAGGGAGGCCTTTTACGGCTACTAGATTGGACACAGTGGCTACCCAAAGTCAGCAAAATCAGCAAATTTCCGTGATTCGACCACTTTTTGACCAACTTGGTCGGAAAATCGTTGCGGTCAAAGCCAAAATCGTTGTGGTCAAAGTCTTCCCGATACAGGGCATGAAAGAGTAGGGTCTTAAGAATACTAGGACGTCGAGGGAGGCCTTTTACGGCTACTAGATTGGACACAGTGGCTACCCAAAGTCAGCAAAATCAGCAAATTTCCGTGATTCGACCACTTTTTGACCAACTTGGTCGGAAAATCGTTGCGGTCAAAGCCAAAATCGTTGTGGTCAAAGTCTTCCCGATACAGGGCATGAAAGAGTAGGGTCTTAAGAATACTAGGACGTCGAGGGAGGCCTTTTACGGCTACTAGATTGGACACAGTGGCTACCCAAAGTCAGCAAAATCAGCAAATTTCCGTGATTCGACCACTTTTTGACCAACTTGGTCGGAAAATCGTTGCGGTCAAAGCCAAAATCGTTGTGGTCAAAGTCTTCCCGATACAGGGCATGAAAGAGTAGGGTCTTAAGAATACTAGGACGTCGAGGGAGGCCTTTTACGGCTACTAGATTGGACACAGTGGCTACCCAAAGTCAGCAAAATCAGCAAATTTCCGTGATTCGACCACTTTTTGACCAACTTGGTCGGAAAATCGTTGCGGTCAAAGCCAAAATCGTTGTGGTCAACGTCTTCCCGATACAGGGCATGAAAGAGTAGGGTCTTAAGAATACTAGGACGTCGAGGGAGGCCGTTGGCCGCAATCAGATCGGACGCAGTGGCCGCCCAAAATCAGCGAAAACGGCTACTTTCGTCCCATATATACTAGGATACGAGTCGAGCAGCGACAACTGGCACGCCGCCGGCGCAGGGGACTGAGGAGGACGCCGGTGGTTAGGCAACCCAACCGGCTTGCGCGCCGAAAGCGTTGCCGTCTAGCAGGGCGTCTGCTGGGCTGGACTGGCCACCCCACCGGCAGGGCAGCCGGATGAGTTGCCTACCGAGCGGTGCGCGGCGCGCACGACGAGTCGACAGGCTGACAGACTAGTCGAAGCGGCGAGCGACTCTGCCTCCGAGAGTGGAAGCGCGTCAAAAACTTTCATTTGATGTTTTCGTGGTTTTAGGGACATGAAGGTGTTAGAAGTCGAAAAAGTGCAAGACAAATCGTTATAAATTTTTGTAATTTCTAAAAACTTTAGTTACAAACAATGTACATGATTTTACATTATGAACAAGTAATGTACATATCGTCCTCTGGGATCATCTTTATACAGTACACATATTTAACAAACAGTTTTCTATGTACACAAAATATAAATAAAATACAGTCCTAGCCTAGGTTCTACGGTACATTCATCACACATTTGAATAAGCACTGTTCCCAGTTTTAAAGCTTTCTGGAGGACACACCAATTTTTTTCTCATTTCAATAGATTGGTCCAAGATAATAACAGGGAACAGCTTTCACAAATAAATTCCAATATGGAGGGCTAAAGTAATAATCAAATTGAATTACACAAATACAAAAATATGGACTTGCGAATATTTAACAATACAACTTAAAGCATTAACCGTCGCTCTATCTCTCTGTGTGAGCTCATCATTGAACTCGTCACAAAATTCCCATGACTACGCACATCCGAAAGACGGGCGGAGTGATTTCAAATTACACCCTACAGTCTGGGGAAGGTAGGCGGTATGGAAAACAAGATTACTGACATGTCAAGGTTTCAGCAACAGTTTGGAGGGAATTATATCAGACAATCGGTCAGTAATGGTTAAAATTATTGGCGCATTGAAGTCTTTTTTCATGCACTTTGTACTATAAGCCCATTTCAAGTCGACAGTCAAACAAAAAAAATCTCGCCAGGAAATTCAGTCCAGAGACTCCACAGTCTTTTAGCACGAGATGCATTTGGTCGAGGGGGAAATCACTCTCAAAAACTGTGACCCGACTACTCCCTATTACGTTCTATTACGCCATTACAGAAGGCTTATTACGCTCGAAAATATCCAGACTTAGGCTAAAATCGGACCCAAAAAAGAAGGGAAAGTTTTAAAAAATTTGGCTATTACGCTATTACTATTACGCGTAATACTAGGAATTGGTGACCCGACTATTACGCGAGTGATTTCCCCCTCGCATTTGGTGTTTTGAAAGGATTTGAACCTGGAGCGGAGTAAAACCACGTTTCAGCCCCAGGTACCCACCCCTCCACTGCTTCCACTTTCGTACAGTCTATCAACGGTAGAATTTCCCACCAGAACTCTCAAACCAACATGCCCACCAGTCAATGAGGCGACAACGTCTGTGGAGAGCCCTTTGATATTTTGGTTTTTGGTCTGGGCGACAACAGTTACACACTCATTTTGCCTCTCATACCCACAAACGCACACACACGCACACACACACATACACACACAGTTACTCATTCACTCACTCACACACATTGACTCTCTCTCTCTTTGGAAGCAGCATGGTCTACCTACACGTCGATGCCGGGCCGCTCGTCCGGCGAGCATGCGTGGTTGGCGTGGTTGTGGACCAGGGGGTGGGTGTGCGTGGCTGGCGCGGCCGAGGCCGAGGTCTCCCTCTGCGCGTTCAGGGCGTTGTCCTTGTCGTCGGCGGTCTGCTCGGGCCGCTCCGGCGCGGCGTGCTGGGAATCACAGGGCGCTTTGAAGGACCGCCGGGCGGGCGTGGAGGCCGCGGCCGGGGCCGAGGTCGACGTCGAGGCCGCGGAGGCCTGCGGGTGGTGCACGAGCGACAGCGGGCTGATGTAGGTGTACACGTTGCTGTCCGCGATCGACTCGTACTGCGCGTCCGGCGCGAGACTAGGGTTGCGGGGGGCTTGGAGGGGCTGGTGGGGCAGCGGCAGGGGCATGCGCTGCCGCGGGGCCTCGGCGTCGACGGCGTGCAGGTGGTAGTGCGAGGACGGGTCCACGACGGCCGTGTCGGACAGCGTGGACGCGCTGGGCCGGTGCACGGACACGGGCCGCGGCAAGGGCAGCGCGCCGTCCATGCTGCGCTGCTGCAAGTGCACGTGCGGATGCCCCGGATGCCCCGCGTGCACGCTGGAGTGCACCAGCTTGAAGGCGCGCAGCTCGCGGCCCTGCTGCGGCGGCTGCTGGTTAGGCTGCCCGGGCTCCTCGTAGGTGAGGGAGGAGTGCTGCTCCGAGACGTTGCAGCACGACGAGTCGTCGCCGAAGTAGATCTCGGACTCGTTGGGGTCGCACGGCCGCTTCTTGCAGACGAGCGGCCCCTGCGGTCCGAGGGTCACGGTCTTGACCGGCGTGCTGGTGGCGGCCGAGGTCCCCGCGCTGCAGGGCGCGGCCGGCAGGTCCGCCGCGCCGTCCTGGAAGGCCTGGTTGTCGAAGGCGGCCAGGATGGCCTGACTGTCGCTGGGCGGGGCGGCGGCCGGCGGCGACGAGGGCTGCGGCGGCGGGAACTTGAGCCGCGGGTACGAGTAGCCTTCCGTGTCCACGTCGTCGCTCGTGTCGCCCCGCGAGCAGCACGGCCGGTCCGCGCAGCAGCTGTCCGCAGAGGCGGGGCGGTGCGCGCCTTGGTGGCCCTGGTGGCCGTGGTGGCCTCTGGCCGGTGGTGGTATCGCGCGCCGTGCCTCGACCCGGGCACCACGGGGGCGTCCGAGCGCTTCTTGGCCTTCCGCGCGCCGTGGAGGTGGACCCCAGGCACCCCGGGCACCCCAGGCACCGCGGCCTGCGCGGACGGGGCGGGCGTCGGGGCGGGGGACTCGGGGGAGTCGGGCTGCTGCACCGAGGACTCGCCCTCGTCGGCGGCCTCCGCCCCAGGCCCGGCCTTCTTCCTCTTCTTGCGCGGCACGCTCTTCTCCGGGCTGGACAACGAGTCCAGTGCCGAGGTGCTTCCCGCGTCCTCGCCCGCCGACAACGGCCGCTCCACGGCGGCCGCGGGGGCGGCAGCGCCAGTGGGGGTGCACCGGTGCGGCCTCTGGCTGCTGCGCGACAGCAGCGGGTACGGGTTGGCCGCCGCGGGCGGCGGGCTGGCGGACGCCTGCGTGGGGTGGCTGGGGTCCCTCCGGGCGGGGCTGTTGGCGGCCGAGGCGGGGTTGGACATGTACGGAGGCGGGGGCCCCCACAAGTAGAACTGCGGTCCCAGGTCGTCGGCGAGGGTCAGTGGCATCGGGACGGCCAGCGGCAGCGGCATGCCCATGCCGTCCGACGGCCCGTGGACGGGGCCGGGCGCGAAGGGCCGCGGGTGCGGCTGCGGCGCGGGGTACACTTGTGACAGGAGGTACGGCCCCACCGACGGGTCCCTGCCCAGGTGGCTGCCCAGGGTGCTCATGGCGCTGCTCAGGTGGTGGGGGTTCATGTTCATGCCCATGGTCATGCCCGCCGCGTTGAAGCCGTACTGGCTGTCGGTGGACACGTTCTGCGGCCGGATGGTGCACATGGCGCCGTCGCCGGGCCCGCGGGCGGGGGCTGCGCCCACTGCGCTGCCGCTGCCGGACCGCCCCCAGGGCAGCCGTCGCCAGCTCCACGCGCTGCTGGGGGTGCTCTGGGCGGGCCGCACCGCGGCGCCGTGTCCGGAGCGCCCGGCCACGCCGGTGACGGCGGGGTGGTGGTCCTCCGGGTTGGGCGAGTACAGGTTGCCGACGCGGCCCGGCGCCCAGTACCGGTTGTCCATGAACTCCCAAGGGATGGAGGGCGGCGGCGTGTGCAGGTCGCGGCAGTCGTCGCAGCAGCTGCAGCTGCCGCAGTGGTGCGTGAGGCCGGCCAGCCCGGCGTGCTGCAGCGCCTGCCCCGCGGGCTGCGACGCCTGCTGCCGCCGGTACAGGTAGCGGCACCGCAGCTCCAGCTGCTCCCAGTACATCTTCTTCTTCTCGTGGCTGCGGATAAATAGAAAAGGGTCAGACTGGCACACCTCTCGAAAAACCGCGCGGTGCGGTACCCACCTGAAGAGCTGGTAGACGAGCATGCCGGAGAAGATGCAGACCAGGATGCCGACGACGGAGAGCCCGAACATGGCGCGCAGGCACGAGTACAGGGCGCCGTGGATGACGTCGCAATCGGGGATGGCGTTGAACACGTACCGCGCGCCCTCCTCCGAGGCGTCCGTGGCCGTGGCGTCGACGAGGGCCGAGTAGCACGTGCACGTCTGCGTGCGCTGCTGGTAGTGGCACTGGCTCAGCGACTGCAGCCGGCTCATGTGCACCACCGTGGTGGCCACGGTCACCAGCACGCAGAGCGCCGCGCTCGCCAGGCACGCGCAGCCGCACAGCTTCATCTGCAGCACAACAACAAGGCCGTCAGTCAGGTGCCCCATTTACGGACGCGAGAAATAAATCACACGAGAAGGGAAGCCGGCAGCAGGGAAGTCCAGCCGAGCCCGGAGAAACTCGTCCGGTCGAGACCGGAGACTGACCGGCCGGCCCTGCTGGCCCCGCTGCTCCGATTTCAGGTGTGCCACCCGATGCTACTCACCAGGAACGAGTACCTGTTCCTCCTCCTCGCCAGACACATGACCACCAGGCCGGTGGACAGGAGCTGCAACACAACAAAGCCGCATTAGGACCTGCACGTCATCACTTTCCGTCTCGGGTTACCGCCGGGTTACCGCGCACAACGCCGTGGCTCCACCGCACCGATTCGGCAGGCTGTCGTCGCTGCGTCTCCCTCGCACTCACGCGGCGCCCCGTAGGAGCCCGTAGGGGTGCGAGAGAGAGGCAGCGGTGAAGCACCGCCGTGGCCAGCGGCCCGTGAGAACGGCGCCGCGCACCGAGCCCCACTTCCGAGGTCGCCGTCGTGCGCGTGTCGCGACGCAGTGCGACGCACGCGTGAGCAGACAGATCTGGACCACTGCCGCCACGCCGGCGACGCGACCCGACCGGAAGTCAAGGCCGCCGGGCGGAGGCCGAGGGCGACCGCGCGGAAAATTGGCGCGGAAAGCCATCACGACGATCACGACGCGGAGCAGCGCGTCTTCGTCTCGGTCGTGGAGGGGCGGCCGCGGCCTGCCGTCCCGTCCCGCCGTCCGGCTTGCCCATCATACCAAACACGGCAGCGAGGAAATGGACTCACCATGGAGGCTGGCACGTAGGTGGGCACCGTCTCGAAGTAGATGAGGGAGGACGTGTAGGACCGCAGCATGAAGTACACGGCCAGGAACAGGATGCCGAGCAGGGAGGACATGCCGCCGCACGCGGCGCACAGGAACACGTACTTGCGCAGGCCGCCGCCGCGCCAGCACAGCCCTCCGCACGGGCCGGAGCCACCTGCAACAGAAACACAGGGAGAGCGTCAGTCGGGTCGCGGGTTCGAGTACCGCCGCGGATGCGGCTTTTCGTGGCCGCGGTGGCCGTCGACACATGTAGGTCGTCCGTGACCGGCGATCGGCGGCACGCTGCCGGGTCTCGGCCGGGCCTTGGCCTTCCCTACGTGTCGAGGCGCGGTGCGACGCGCGGCACCGCGCGGCACGGCGACGCGGCGCCACTTTCGCGAAACCGGTTGCCGCGCCTCGCGTCTAGAGCCTCGCGTCTAAAGCCTCGCGTCTAAAGCCTCGCCCGCCGCGGCCGCGCTCGGGGCAGACTTATTAAAAGTGTAGGCTCGGCTACTCGAACCTCGCAAACTATCGGCCGGGCCCGGCGCGCGGCGGGTCCACTTCCACGCTTGACGCGGCGTGTGGGCCTGCGCCACGCCTGCGCCGGCATGCCGGCCGCATCAGAATGAGGCGAGTGTTGCTCTCGGCGGCGAGCTCGCGGTCGCAGACAGTCGCAGACAGTCGGCCGAGGAAAGCGATCGGCAATTAGACATGAAAGCAACAATGAAGGTGGGAACGACCACGCATTCTTCCTGGCCGGCCCTCGCTCCAGACGACTGGCCGAGCATTCCGAACTTATTGCGACTCAATTAGTTGGCATCTCCGGGCAGCCTCGGCTACCGCGCCGCCGCCGCGCCACCCCCGCGGCGGCCATCGCGTGAGCGGCGGCGCCTCCCGTGGGAACGCCACGACCCCCTGCGTGTCCGCGGCCTGCCCCGCCACGCCACGCCCGCCCCGCCGGAGTGCTCCAGGCCAGCCTCGACCCCGGAGAGGCCAGAAAGGGCACAAGGGTGGCCGAGCGCCTCTCCAGCGCTTGCCTGGAGCGCCTGGACTTGTATGTGGACCGCCACTTTGTTTCCATTAGCCGCGTGCATTTTGCAACACGGTGGCGGGGCGGGCGGGGCACTGGAGCAAGGCACGGCCGGCACGGGGCGCGGCCTCCTCAAACACGACGACCGTGTCCTTCTAGTGCGGGGCCCGCGGGGCCGGCCGGAGTGCCTTTACGATCAGCGGGGCATTCCGCTTTATTGTTTCGATAAATAAAAGATCCGCCCCGCTTTCGGCACGGCACGGCACGGCACGGCACGGCGGCGCTTTACGGTGGTGTAGCGCACGGACGGCACCCAGACACGCGTGACGCGAGCGGGCCCGCCCGACACGCATAGCGGGCCGTCCGGTCCGCGCGGCGCGGGGTGCCCTCGGCGGCCTTTGGTGGGTGCCGTCGTCGCTGTGGTCGCCTCGGCGCGCCTTGGCGGCACAAACGGAATTACACGCCTTTTGGGGGGCCTTTGCCTGCGCGGCCTGTGACACGGCCTGTGCCTCGCATGCCGCCCTTGACGCCCACCGCAGGCAGGCGGTGCGGCACCTCGCCGCCAGGTACGTACAGTGGTACAGTAGTTGGCCAAAAGTTCGACAGGAAGCAGCTGGGAGCAGCGAGCCAAGCCGAGCCAGGCAGGCGGTCTGCCGCATCAGCCGCTGCAAGCCAGCAGGCCGCCGTCAGGAAGTGGGTCTTGAGGCTGAGCAGCGCGGCAAGCGGCGCTGTGGCTTGACCTTTCCCTGCCGACTCTGCATTATTCTCTTTCACGGATTGTTGCTTGTTATCGCGGCCGGTCCCACCCACGTCAGCCCCCACCCCTTTTACACACACAGACACACACACACACACACACCGGAAACACGGCGAGGTGTGGGCCATTAGTCATGCGGCGCCACCGGGCGCGCGAAGACGCAAGCGAAGACGCGAAGTCGGGGGAAGGCGGGGGAAGGGAAGGCGGGTTGAAGGCAGGGACCACACGCACTCGTTTGCTCGTCGGCCGATGGCCGATCGATATCTCGACACGTCAGTTTGCGAATCGAAAAGCAACGAGAAGAAGACGACGGCGGGGCGCGCGGCGCTGTGTGCGCTGCTGTGTCCACCTCGCCCCGCCCCGCCCCCATTGATTCCATGTCGAGATACTGCAGGGCCTGCAGCAGGGCCTCCGAGTCGGCCTCGAGGACGTCCCGCAGTCCCACAGTCCCCGGGCCGACGGCCGGCGGCGGCGTCCTGTTCAAGCGGCCGGCGCTTTCTCGATTTCTCGAACTCGGCACCTGCGGCGCCGCGCCCGCGCCGGGGTCATCGTCATCTATGCAGTGCATCTAGGCAGGAAGTAAACCATTCCGGGGAAGGCAAGAAGGCGCCGGCGAACTTCACACAGCCGAATTACGGACAGCGCAGCGGACTGATTCCGAGAGTCATTTCCATCGCCCTGTCTCTCTCGCACTCGTGGGGCGTCCTGTAGAGGTGCGAGAGAGACAGCGATGGGTCTGCTGTGGGAACGAGCTGGAGACATCTCTCAGGACCCAAACGAGGCGAGGGCAGTATCGCGCACCTCGCCGCCACGGCCCACGAGTGCGAGAGAGACGGAGCGACGAAGGCGCCGCGGCCGTTCGGAACGGCCAGCCCTCTGCGGGGCGCTGCGGGGCTTCCCCGGAACTTGTTCACAGTGCTGCAAGCCGTTCCGGTGCCGCGCTGCCGCCGCCTCCTCCTTGATGGCGCCCGCCACATCAACAACTACAAGCTCTTAGTCTCACGCTTTGTCGAGCCACTTGGGGACCGCGCGGTAATTACTTAATACTCCACTCGCCGGCGTGACTCGGGGGAAAGGGTAGCCTCGCTCCGAGACGCGTTTCCAAACTGGCGCGCAATCCCAGAGTGCTTCCGAACAGTGCTCTGTCCCCCTCGCACACCTACGGGGCACCCCGCGAGTGCGAGAGAGACGGAGCTGTTCGGACGCAGCCAGCCGCGTGACCTCACGCCCGGCCGGCCGGCCGGCTTGGAAATGGAATCTGGCAATATCGGCGCGGTCTCCGCATCATCGACTGCGGCATTTCGGCGGCGCGGGTCACGAGGGTCACGAGGGTCACCGGGACGGCGACGTGGACGTGCCCGTCGAGGCCGCGGCCCGCGCCGGGAGCGGCAACTGCAGCGCGCGGGGCGAGGAGTTGCGCGGCTCTGTCCGTGTCCAGCCTCGACCCGCGGGACGGGACGGGACGGGACGGGACGCGGTGGACTGCACGATGGGTAGCGGCCCGTCGGCCCGCTCCTCACCTCCTCGCTGCTCCTCGCTCGGCGTGTGGTGCTCGCGGGGAATTTGCGGTCAGGAGCGCGACCTGCATCGCATCCCGGGCAGCGCTGGGGCGCCGCTACTACAGTGTACCGCAGGCTGCGGACCGAAAAACCGAAACCGCAGCACGGCGGCGGGGAGCGGCGGAGTGCAGTGAAGAGGAAGACGTCCAGGCCCCTCGCCGAAAACGTCAATCTGTTCGGCGGGGCCTCGCGGTCGCGATGCGCTGCGCGTCGTGGGAGCGAGCGGCCGGCGTCCGGGACTCCGGATGGAACGAGTCGCGACGCTGCCCCCGCCCCCGGCTCGCCTCCCCGGCGGAGTGTCGGCCAGCCATTAGGGGAGGCCAAGGTGTTGCGGGCCGCGCCGGGCATATAATGACTTCCCCCGCAGAGCATTTGCGCCCCCCAGTCAGCCGGAAACTGAACGGCTGGAAAAACAACACACTCTCACTCACACAGACACACACACGTACAGGACCACACACACATGCCCCCCTTCCGAGGGCTCCATTTCTTTCGGCCCCGGTGCAAGAAAAACGGCGGCTCAGCGCGCTGCCGCTCTGCCGAGACCCTGCGATGCGCGGCACGGCCTCGGGGGCCTCGGGCAAGGCGGCGGCGTGTTTGCTCGGAAAACTCGCAATCAGCGCGGGCCTGAAAATCCGCCGCGTCTCTCTCTCTCCTTCTCTCGCCCCCCTCTCTCTCCCAGTGTCGTGACTTTGGCGGGAGGGGGAAAAAGAGGCAGACCGGCGCGGAATAGGGGATCCAGGCGGTCGTGCGGCCCGACAACAAATTGACGCAAGTTATTATTGCCAACTCTGGCAGTCTTGCTGCTCCATCTCGGACTGCGTTATATTTTTTATTTTCCCCGCGGCGCGCCGCCACCGCCACAACCATCGACTGCCTGCACTCCACTGGATCTTCTCGCGCCAACCCTCTGCAGGCTCTGCAGGCTCTTCAGGCTCTCCGGCGCGCTGAGCAGCCTATATCGCACGCTAAGCCCCCTCAGCGCCCCCCCCCCTCTCTCTCTCTCTCTCTCACACACACACACACACAGACACACACACACACACACACACACAATCACACACACCAGCATAGGGGGACGGTCATGAACGGCATAGGGGAGGGACGCGCGGTGCAAACTTGGAAAAGAGTTGTCGCCGTGCAACTGGAGCAAACTGGAACCAATAGAGGCACTCCGCCGGCTTGGGCTGGCCCCGCTGGGCTTGCCGGCCGAAGACGAGTCCGTCCTGGAGGAGAAGAAGTTGGGCGTGGCGCTGCTGGAGCGCAAGGAGGGTGCGTCCGGGGAGGGGAGGGGTGGGGTGGGGGGTCGCGGCACGCGGCAGGATGATGAGCAGCCGTAATGTTGCAGACGGGCTGGAGTTGGATCGGGGCGTGGCGGAGCGTGGCGCCGCGATGAGGTTGCGACGCCAGGCCGCCAGCGCCAGGCCGCCAGGCCCAGCGAGGGGTGGGCCGTGCCAGGCCGTGCGGTGCGGGGTGGCCCGGAGCAGGGGAGGCTGAACAGACGCACAGCCTGGCGGCCCCCTTGAAAGCGAAACACTCGGCGTGGCGGCGCGCTTGCACTCTGTACACACCGACGCCCCGCGACGCGCCGCGCCACGTCATGGTGGTGCTCTACAGCGCCTGCTCCGCGGTCCGTACTTTACTTTATTTCCACAGAAGCGGGACGCGAGGCGGGCCGGCAGTCCGGGGCCTCTCATTGCCTGGTTTGACGTGGGTCCGGAGGGTGGCAGCGTGGCAGGGCTCGCTCGGGGCTCTACTCTGGTTTCGCGATTATACAACGAATTTCGCAGCAGCGCGCCCCGGCCGGCGGCGGCAAACACACGGCCGCC